GGTACATCCGTAATCAAAGGAAGCCCGGGGACGACATTACAACTCTAAACGGATAACATGGGAACGTAGTAACGGAAGGACCACGGAAAGTAGAGTAACTGTCGGAGTTTATCACATCGGCGGTTACGATGAACACCCCCGACGACAATCCGGGAGCCATCGGTGCCTCTTTTATCTCTGTTCGAGCTTTCCATGAGGACAGGGGACTTGCCTTTGCAGTGGAAAACGGCCAACATCGTACTGTTTTATAAGGGAGGTAGCAAGATGTCTTCCAACAGCTTTCGGGGTATAAGCTTGACTTGCCTTTCCTGCAAAATGATAGAGTCCTTGTCAACCAGGTCATACTAAGATTTTGTGATGTGAATGACATCATACAAAATTTCCAACACGGCTTTCGGCGATGGCGCTCCTGCCTGCTCCTTTGCTGACTTCTATTGAGGGCTAGACAAGTGCTTTAGAAGAGGGCTTCGAAGTGGACGTAGTGTTCATCGATTTGACAGCGTGCCCCATCGACGCCTTTTACATAAACTGAGCGTTTTTGACATTAAGGAGAACATTTTGGACTAGATCAAGTCAGTTTTAGTCGGTCGAAAACAACGCGTCTGCATCGGGGAGGATAAATTGGACTGGGTTGACGTAGTTATTGGGGTTCATCAGGGCTCCGTTCTCGGTCCTCTTCTCTTCATTCTCTATGTTAATGACAGCCTTCTAGAGGCGGACTGCGGTTAAATCATGCTCGCCGATGACGTTAAGCTCTGGCAGGTCATAAGGCGCCCAAGCGACCGAGACGCTCTGCCAAATAATTTTTGAAAACTGCAGACGTGGTCCGAGAGATGGCTGCTGGAATTCAATGTGCAAAATATTGCCGTCCTCCACCTGCGTCCCACAAACTACCCTATCCCCCAGAGCAGCAGGACATACCACATGAAAAACATTCAAATTCCCATAGCATCTACGCAAAAGGACCTCGGCATTTGGATACAGAGTAATCCGAGGCCCA